AAAAAAAAACAACAACAACAACAACAACCAAATCTGAAGAGCTCAGTCTGTGTACATCAATTTTACATGAAGACTTGTGCACTGAAAATATGGCAGCACAGCTTTTGCCTTTTTTCCCCAAGTGATAAAGGTCAGACTTAGGGCTTCATACATAGTAGGGAAATCCTTATATCTGGATGTGTTCCTGATTGTCCTCATCCATGAATTCCAGTTTAACTGGGTATCAGTTTCTTCCTACACAGTGATTCTAGAATTAAGAACATGTAAATGACATAGCATTCAACTGCAATGCAGGAATTTCTATTAGAGCTTTGACAGGAGTATGTCTGTAAAAAGACTGTTGGGAACCGTGGCAGACACTGGCATAAACCAATATTTCAATAATTAAAAAGTAAGCATTGAGAACACTGGGAAAGCATATTCTGTGTGATGTGCCCCTCTCCCACTGTGACATCCAGTCCCACTTGTTCCCATTCTTTCCAAACTGTGATGCCTGTTATCATGGTCATGAACAGAAATGTATTGCTATTATTCAGGGCGATATTTCTCTTTCTGTGTTTTATTTCATTTAGCACAACACCCAGGAGGTGTTGTTAATTTTATTAAATCTGTAATAGTGCTATATGCCTGAATAGGAAAATAGCTCTTTTCAAAGAAGTGCTCTGAAAAGGATTTCGAATCAAACTATGATCTGTAATTTTCCTTGAATATTTCATATAAAAATAAATAGGTGAAAAAAATATGGCAGCACAGCTTTTACCTTTTTTCCCCAAGTGATAAAGATTAGACTTAGAGCCTCATACATAGTAGGCAAGCAAGCGCTCCTCTACAGAGATGTACCTCCAGCCCATGGTAAATTGTTAGCAACAGTTATAAAAGTTTTAGATAGATAAGCACTCATTCTTCTATATGATACAGAATTTCTATAATGAAAGCAAGTCGTGTTATGAGGAAATAAAAATTTCCCCTCACATATCTCTAAATTATTGCTTCAAACTTGAGGTAGTGAGCATTGCATATTAATCACCAATATTTCAATAATTAAAAAGTAAGCATTGAGAACACTGGGAAAGCATATTCTGTGTGATGTGCCCCACTCCCACTGTGACATCCAGTCCCACTTGTTCCCATTCTTTGCAAACTGTGATGCCTGTTATCATGGTCATTTTCACAGAAATGTATTGCTATTATTCAGGGCAATATTTCTCTTTCTGTGTTTTATTTCATTTAGCACAATATCTGATAGGTCCAAAATGATGGGATTTCATTCTGTTTCAAAAGTGAATACTGTCCCATCATATGTATTATGCTGTCCGATCCATCCAGCCACCAGTGGATACCCACATTCTTTGCATATCTTGGCTACTACAGATAATACTGTAAAGAGCATGGGAAGGCACATATCCTTACAGCTTGGTAACTGGTGATTTCATCTCCCTTGGGTATTTATTACACATGGAAGAAGGATTGCTGGGTCCAATGGTAGTTCTATTTCTAATTTCTTTAGGACTTTCTATACAGTTTTCCATAGTGGCTAAAACAATCACCAATCTGCTTTTCCAACAACAATGCACAAGATTCCTTTACTTTTACACCTTCACCAGCATTTTTTTGTACTAAGGATGGAATTCAAAGAGCTCTGAGCTACATCTCTAGCCCATTCATCTATCTATCTGTCTATCTATCTATCATCTTTCTAAATAAATATGTGTGTGTGTCATTTGTACATCATTTATCTGTATCTATCATCTGTCTGTCATCTATCATCAATCTATTGTCTATGTTTATATCTATCACCTATCTATCATCTATCTGTCTCTATCACCTATTACCTGTATATCTTTTTTTACGTATTTAGTACAAGGTCAACAGGGTCTTACTACATAGATCAGATTCATAGTGATTGCCCCGTTTTTCAGCTTTCCAAGCGCTGGGATCACAGGCGCTCACCCAGTCTCACTACACCCAGTCTCAGTCGCAGTCTCAGCGCACCCTGGGCGTGGGACCAGTATGGCACGCTGACACTTACATATCTACATATCATCTACCTATCATCTATCATCTATCTCTTATCCATCATATATCTATATATCCTCTACCTATCATCTATCTATCATTTATCTATCTATCTGTAGTCTGAGGCAGGGTCTCCCTAAGTTGTCCAGGCTGGTCTGAAACTTGCAATCCTCCCAGCTCTGACTTCTAAGTAGCTGAGATTAGAGCTCTCACCAACATCTGTTACATCTTGTCTTTTGGTATTAGCCATTTGCAACCTTGTGAGGGAGCAACTCGAATACACAGAGAGGGAGCAAGGGAGCGAGAGAGAGAATATTAAACACTTACTGCATGAGGGAAGAACAGGCAGAAAAAGTAGGGAATCTTGTTCCCACGACAGCATAACTATGCAGAATGACCTATTGCTTTATTACTGTAATGATTTTACTACCTACATCACCCCAAAATGTCATGTTGTAAACCTCTACATTACCCCACAATGTCGTGTTTTTACAACATTGGGTTGTACTGTCATGCTGAGGTTTGTTTTTGTTTTGGTTTGGGTTTTTTTGAAGTAAAAATTCACTCTAAGAGATAATATCCAAAACATGATTTTACCAATTTTACCTCTGGAGCCAAAGCACACAAGCAACGAGATTAAAAATAAACTTACATGACCCATTCCCTTCTTAGAAAAGAAATATCTACCCCCACAGTACTAATGAGCAGCCAAACTTACTTATCTTCTGCTCAGGTCAACCCATGCCAGCTTGAATGCCAACACCAAGAGCCATGAGCTCTTGATAGAAGACACTGGCAGGACATGATTACTACATAAGTAATGTCAAGAGCAACAGTGTGGAAATCGCTGCCCAGATGGATCTCCCAGCTCTCGCCTGTAGCACCTAAATGACTCTTATTTATCAGGCCACTGGCCTTCTATGCTCGGCACATGATATACAATATGTGTTTAATTTCACTGCAAAGCTACAATTAAGTACTCTCCCTCTCTTTTACACATAGGGGCATAATGCTCCAGAGCTTGCCCAACATCCCAGAGCTACACCACGTCAGCCAGACTCGGAACCCAGGTCTGACTTCACAGCTTATACTGTTTATGACAAGAGCACATATCAGGTCTATATGGCCATGTCCTAGAGTTCTTCGGCCCACTCTTAACATCTCCGACTTCCTCTCTCATTCTTCAGGTTTCAGCTGAACTATCACCTGTCCCTGACCATGCCATCTTAGTGCAGCCTCACTCCTTCTCTTCCATATGCCACCCATTATAGTCTGTTACCATCTAGTTAATTATCTGCTTACTTTCTGAATGCCTGCTTGGAAGGAGAGCTTGGTAACAGAAGGTTCTTTAACTCTCTTGATTGCTGTGGTGCTGTCAGTGCCCTGGAAGATGCTCTGTAAGCACTTGGTAAATTTGCAGGAAGTGGAGTGCATTGGTTTTGTCTAGGACATCTTCATGCAGGTGTGAGCTAATGTTCGTGTCTCAGTCCATGTCTATAGAATACTATATGGGCTCAAATAGAGATAAAGATACTGGAAGCAAAGATGTCCCTCAGCCCTGGACCTCTTGGCTGTAGCTACTGACAGTGAACATCAGAGATCTGCTTTTCAGGGCTTCTCTGACTGGTGGGAGGTTCAACACACAATAAGTTTAACTGCTACAGTGAGCTTCCAGGTTTTGTACGAGCTGAATGTTGAGGTTTTAAAACTGTACTCCAAGAAGTTCCAGGACTTTAGAGAGGAGTTTTGAAGTCTTCAACAGAGAAAGAGAAATGACCATGGAACATAACTGTAAAAAGCTCTAAACCCACCCCCCATTTCTCCTCAACTAGGGAAGCTTTACTTCTATGTGACTTTTATAGTTACCTGAATGGATAGTGTCCCCCAAATTTATGCCCACCTAGCACGTCAGAATCTTAGTTGCAAATAGGATCTTGTTAGATTTATTTAGCTTAAATGAGGCTACTCAGAATAGAATGGGCCCTAACTCTAACTCCTGACATCCCTACATGAAGAGGAAAGAACATGCACAGACATGCAGAAAGTAGCACGTTAGAAAGGAGGCAGAGGCTACAGGGTCACACCCGCAACACAAGAAACATCAAAGAACCTGGCAACCACCAGAATCTGGCAGAGAAGCAGAGAAGAGATCCTCCCACAGAGCCTCCAGGAAAACACTGAGCAAGCTAGTACCTTGGCCATGAGACTTCTCTGGCTTCCAAAATAATGAGATACTATATATAAACTTCACATAAGATGCAGTTGTAAAACTGTTTTGCTTATTTTTAAATGATTAAAAACTTCACTGGGATAGATCCTCGTTTATTCATCTATGTGATCAATCCCCATCTAGTCCATGCCAGCTCTGGCTTCTGTCCTAAGTCACTTGCCCTGAAGTAGTTGACATTTCTTTACCAATGGGACTGGTTTACCCATCATCACCACCACCAAGGTACCAGAGCCTCCCGGCTGCTTCCTACAAGAGCTTCCCAAGTGACTTGCATGTTAATGGCCCCAGAAGCACCCTTGCATTCGTTTTTAGCTCTTGGAGTCTAGATACCTCTGAGGCCAACTTTGGCCAGCAGCCTGAGGAGAGGCAGAAGAACGTCATAGTCAGGAGAAGGTGTCCTCGAGGTATCCACAAAGGTCTTCAGGAGAGCTTCACTGCCACCCTTGCTGATCATGTAGTGAATCCTCCGGTCCGTGCCTGGGGAAAACCAGAGGACAGATGAGCCACAAGTGATAACCCTCACTTTCCTTAGAGCAGGCCTCAGACCTAACAGTACGAGTTTGAGCTAAGATTGGTTCATTTCACCCTAGAAACCGAACTTATGTAGTTCTTCACACAGCCTACGTCAAAGTTATGATAGCAGGTGAGGGGAAGGTAATATGAGACTTTTATAGGTAAACAGCTGCATCTAGAGACCATACTCGTAAGTGAAATAAACCTGACCCACATGAACAAACATCATATTGATTCACTGTGTAAAGAACCTGAAAGAGTAAATAAAATCCAAATGGTACAATAGATACTGTGAGGAGAAAGAAACTGCTCAAAAGGAAAGAACAATAGGGATAAGGGAAAGAAAAAAGAAAGGAAAGGAAAGGAAAGGAAAGGAAAGGAAAGGAAAGGAAAGGAAAGGAAAGGAAAGGAAAGGAAAGGAAAGGGAGAAAAGAAGATAGATAGATAGATAGATAGATAGATAGATAGATAGATAGATATAGATATAGAGATAGATAGATAGATAGATAGATAGATATCCCCATATGATAGCTAAGATAATTATACTATTAATTTTTGTTTATTGAGAGAAAAAGTGAAATATATGAGCAGTTACATGTTTTCCTTTTTATTTATTTTTTTGTATTTTAGGACAAGGTCTACAGGTTCTCACTGTGTAGATCAGACTGGTAGTGATCCTTCTGTTTACAGCATCCCAAGTGCTGGGATTACAGGTGCACACCACAACACCCAGTCTCAATTGCTGTCTCAAGGCATCCTGGGGACAGGGCTGGCACAGCAGGCCTGGGGATTAAACACCCGGCCCCTGCATCTGCCTAAGCGGGTACTTTAATCCACTAAGCTATTTGGCTGGCCCTAAGAAGTTACACATTTTCGTCTGCAACCATTGTAACAAGTGGAGCCTAGAGTCCATTTCCCAGATAATGCATCACATCTTCACTGAGATGTGTGCACTTGTATGTATGTGTGTGTCTATGGATAGGCATATTGGCTTATGTATCACCATGTACATAATGTCTACCTGCTGCAAGCTTGAATCATTAGCAGCAGCACTGGGATGACAGATTATCTGGAATTATTTTATTGAAGGTATGATTTTCTGATGCTGATCCTCAGTGACTGATGGGAAACAAATATTGAAAACACTGGAGTAATCCCTTAAGGAACCAAGGTCTGATTGACCTTTACAACATATTTTGAGGAGCTTCTGGACAAAGGTTGAAATAGTGATCTTTCTACCTAAGAAGAGTTCTGAACAGGCACTTTTCCCTCTTTCTCAAGGATGAGCTAAATAAAAAGTAGTGATTACATTGCAACTTGGAAAGAAACCTGCTTGATGTAACCAAGGTAGGCAACAAAGAGGAATCTTATCAAAGAAGATCTTTTAATTTTTTTCATCTTAATGAAAAATAACATCCAAGGATGGAAAGGAGGGCAAGAGGGGACAGAGGGGGGAAAGGGGAGGGGAGGAGGAAGGGAAGAAGAGAGAGAAGAAAGGAAGAGAGAGGAAGGGAAGGAGAGAGGGAGAAGGAAGCAATTACCACCTGTATCAGAGGGAAAACTATAGGTTTAATTCCTAGCATCATATCAGAGGATAAGTGACTTCACCTCCATAGGGAATTTCACTGAAAAACTCTGCAAGGAAATTGCCCAGCCAGTGGTGGGCAGCATAATGGAAAAAATATCAACCTAATGGGACCCATTATGAGAAACTGCAGAATACCTACCCAGCTACTAACTTTCTCCTAAGTGTCAGTCACCACAGGGTAGGAGACAAGACTGAAGAGCCCAGGGATGTTCCATATCTCATCACTTCAGTGTGATTCCATCTTCCATCAGCAACTCAAGCTACAGCGATCCCAGCCACATGGGATCCTAAACAGCCCACAACCACAGTACAGTCAGATGAGAATGCAGCATACTTACTCACCTACAGAGAGGAGATCTCCAAGGAGCTGGAGGATGGTCAGGATGGCAGCCTTGTCTGAGGAGCTCTGCAATGAGAAGACAGGTAACCATCTTAAAGAGGCACTCAAGAGGAAGGAGGTGGTGTGATTAGGGATGCCCAGCGAAGAGGCAGGAACATGATTTCTCCCACTGAGAAAGTCTTCCTAAGTGAAAGGATGGACAAAGGGGGCTCGCCTTAAGTAATAACAAAATTGGCTGCCTGAGCTTGGAGGCACTGGAGCCATACCTTCCATACTTAGCCTTCAGGAACTCTCTCCGAGGATCAGTCCTGTAGTTAAATCAGCAAGATACACAGTAAGCATCAATAAGCAACATAGAAAGGGCAAGAAATGGGGCTTTGTGGGACAAGTTGGTACAAATATAGGTTACTGCAGTAGGTGTGGACTGGTTTTAAATTCAGGGCACAGGGAAAAAACCGAAATCCACCAAAATGTTCTGATGCTAATACTTTCTTTGGCAGAAAGGACGGAATTTGATTTTCTCAACTGAAACCCTAGTAACACCAAATCATATTTGAATAGCATCCTAAGGGATCTTTGCAATACTTGACACTCTAACCTTGCTATACAGATGAAAGAATGTGGGTACATGCAGTAAATTTGCCAAAACCCCAAGTCAATGCATACAGCAAACACAGAAATAAAAGCCAGTCTATCTAGACCAATGATACCCCAAAACCTATATCAACAGTTCTTACATACTGAGAAATTTTTATAATGGTTTTTTAAAAAAAAGCCTTCATCTTCCCATTAGTAGGATTCATGCTCCTCATCTGCTTCAAAGACCTCACCAACTCCCTGTTACACATAGAATAGTGTCTGATCTCACTAATAGGTTTGCCAGAATTCTTCATGACCTTGACCTTTATTGTCTCTAAATTCCTGATTCACTTCCATTTCCTTGCCCAAAATGTGTTTCAGCAACATGGGACTACTTTTCTATTTCTTGTTTTGTCTCTTTCATAATACTGCTTCCTCTTCCTGCAGGTGTTTTCCTTGCCTCTCAGCCTGGTCAACATTGGCACATGCCTCAAGTGCACGATGGTCCTGGAGATCCACCACCACCTCTAAGCTTGGTCTAGGATCCTTTCTGTCTTCCCATCACTCTAATCTCAGCTCTGACAGCACACTTACCACATGGTTTTAAAATCAAGGTGCAATCCATGCCCACTGGATACCAAAATTTTTAAAGAGAGGACTAAGTTTTGTGCATGTCTATATTCCTGGCATCTGGCACAAGAAATGTTTGAGAGAAAACATACAATAATCATTTGTTAAGTGGAACTGAACCCACCCGTGGGACACACTGAGACTGGGCATGGTGGCATGCACCTGAAACCTTAGCACTTGGGAGGCTGAAAACAGGAGGATCACTGGGAGCCCAAGCTGTGTAGTGAGACCCTGTAGATCACATACTAAGCACATTTTTTAAAAAAAGAAATGGAACTGGACCATGCTCTCTGGTCAGCACATATACTAAAATTGGAACAATACAGAGATTAGCATGGCCTCTGCACAAGGAACTATACTAAATAAAAGAGAACTCAGAGGGATTCTTGAAGTCCAGTAGAATCCACAAGACATAGTGGTGAACACACTTTCTTCATTCTAGAGCTTACGATCTTTCAGGAGGACATACTCCACCCAGGCAACTTACCACAGCCCTAAATGTAAGGGGTCAGAAAAATACTCCAAAAGAATTGAGACAAATATTTTAATATTATATTGATGCAACAAAGTTTATGACAAAGCAATATTGAAAAGAAACTCAGTAAGTTCTATTCTCGGTAGGATAAGGTCTGTTGAGATCTCTAGGCACTTACCAAGAGACAAGTGTGTCATCTGACATTTTTTCCAGCAGGAGCTTTGGCCTATCCAGGACAACTGCAACATGCACTATGCTAATGCCACTCATCAAAGTTGTGTTGAATATTAATATAAGATACAATATTATTCTCCAAATTCCCAAATCCATGTCTCCCTCCAATCCCCACCAGACACACACATACGCAATGTTGGTACCTTCTACTCCTTAGCCACCAAATGCTGGAAACAAGAAAACCAAGAGGGGCCAGGAAGTAGATCTATCATTCTGAGAAGTTTCCAGGACTCCAGACTTTTAGGAGCAGCCCTAGATATGATTCACAATAGAAAACACAACCCCTGAAATGTTTTACCTTGACCAACGCTGATATTTATGGATTAATGCCCAGCATACCCCATCATTGTGTGAAGAGGAAAAGAGGTAAAAGTCTTTTGTAGGGCTGTGAAAATGTTGCATAACTTTTAAAATGTCATACTCATTCCCTAATTCTAAATAATATGCAAGAAAAATAACAGATGAGATAGACATGACAAAAGAGAAAGAGGAAAAAGAAAAGCTAATAAGGTAGACACTGATTGAAGGGGAATAAAAGATGGAGGTTTCATTTCCTTTCATTCAATCATTCATGCATTCACACTGCAAGCATCCACTGGAAATCATCTGTGTTCCAGTCACCAGATGAAGCTGTGAGGCTACAAACTGATCAAAACACAATCTGCTGCTCTGAGGCTCGAGGCCTGGCTGAGGATGGGGGCTGGCCAACCGGAAGGGTCTTGAGTGGGAGGTCCTGTAGCAAGGGCAACAAGGATGCTGGGGGAATCCATGAGGGGGCATCTGACCCAGTCAGGTTCATGAGTGATGAACTGGAGAGACACCTGAATAGGAAGTAGGGGAAGTTGTTCCAGTAATGCTGCAGCCCTGTGTGCCTGGAGGGAGGCATGGCAGGGCATGGTGACATGAAGAGATGAATCTGCATCTAGTATGACTGGACTGGAGAATGTGGTTGGGGAAAGGAATTGGGAAGTCTTGTCCATGAGAACTGGATCTTATTCATTTCTGTATTGCTATCTCCTAATATGTAACAATCTGTATATTTTATTGAATTAATTTCTCCAGCTAACGAACTGCTGCTTTATTACCGTGCCCATTAAGATTCTCTGAGAACTGTATTGTCTTACACGCTTCTGTCGTATCTTCCAGCACATTACAAAACCAGCCATATAGTACCCACAATCACCAGCCCTTCTTGTGACCTGTGAGCAGAAATACAGGATGCACACACATGAACCATTACCCTGTAGTTACTTCCATTGCCATTTACTTAAAAGAAAAGAAGTCCAGTGCCGAAGGAAGGCACAGTCCCTCTTCCCTGCACAGAGAATACCCTATCGTCCATCTCTGTAAAGTCTTCCTGGTTTTTACATAATTAATTTAAAGACAGGAATGACTTCAAATCAATGACTCCAGACCAGGGAAAGAGAACTAAGTGAAAGTATACTAGGGAAATCTGACAATCATTTGTCTCTAGAAATAAAACACACATACACACATGTGCACGTTGGCACACACTCATACACAGACAGACACACATATACACACACACGCGTGCGCACACACACACACACACACACACACACAGGACCACAGAGCAAAACCAAAGAAAAAAATCAAAACAAACTTTCTCTCTCTCTCTCTTTTTTTTGAACACTTATATTATGACGTGATCCTGAATCCCATGTGACCGTGTTAAGCCAACAGATCAACTATGGAACCCCATATCTGTGAACCATCAGACAGGTGAAATAATAAATATCCCCACTCTTAAAAGCCACATTTAGTTGGGTAGTTCCTTACTGAGTTAAGTGTGACAGATTTCTCAGAAGAAAATTTGACACCACTATATGCCCTCTTTGAAAGCATTATGGTCTTAATAGAAAAGAAATTGATTTTGCAAACTACACAGCCAGTTCACCAAGACAAGCCTGTCATCCCAAAGAAAAGAAGAGATAGTATCTTTGTACAGATGTTGAGCTCCTGGTGCTCTCGCTCAGTCCTGAGCCAGAACGCATCAGCACAATATCGTTTTTCTTTAAATAAAAATTATAACTGTCAGTGGTGAAAAAAATACCCCGCAAAGTCTCAACTGGCATTAATTTATACACTGCTATATTTCCATAAATATTTTACACTATTTAGAAGAAAAACACAAAGCCGTTATCTCACCCACAGTAATAATAAATGAGCAATTAAAGAAGGCAGGATGTGATGTGCCTCGATTTTCCTTTAATGATCCTTTTAAATGAATCATTGACTAATCCCCTGTTGTTTAAGACTTTCCTATTAAAAAATGGATCTGCCAGGCTTTCAGGGAGAGGCAAGCAGTTGGAAGAGCAAATGGCATCTTTCACAGACAGTGGGTTCTGCGTTGCAATTTGCTTATATACTGTTTCACATTTGTCCCTCCCTTGCTTTTAAATCGTCTGTATCTCCCCATTGCCTTCCTCCTGACTCCTGACATGGGATCTAAATAAAATCCTTCATGTGGCTCTGCCTTGAAGGTGCATCTCTAGCCGCCCCTCTTATCCCACTATTGAACATGTCTACTACACAGGACCAGTTACTGTGGCCAAAAGCACCATGGATAGCTGGAAAGATATTTTGTGCATGATGACACTGTTGAAGTATGATTTCTCCTCTTCTTTTAAAGTTCTAATTCTCCCTCTATACAGTTTTGCAGCTAACTTGCCTCCCAGCACCCACTACTCAATAGTAACACACATTTGCAGACCCTGGGAAACACACACCTCCAAAGAGTGCCGTTCATAAAAGACTATGGCATGATGGGGTGCTCACAGGCAGTACAATGCCTGGCCTCTCCACAAACAGAATTATTTGCCTTACATTTTGTTTTCCAGCAACACATTATACATACCTTTTATTAGAATTCTCACTAGATTCTAGTTACTTTCTTATCTCCTTATACTGGTTGTTTACCAGTAACAAATTGACCTAAAACTTAATGCTTCAAATAATAGCCTTTTCATTATATTTCTTGATTTTTGTGGCTAGGGATATAGGGCATGCCCTGACTTTGTTATACTTCTGCTTTCTATGGTATCAAGTAAGATCAAAAAATGGCACTCAAGCAGCAAAGTCACTGGCATAGAGGATCAATGATGGTTTCACTCACATGTCTTCTGGTGTGGTAGTGATGGCCAGAGGACTGGAACCACCTGATACTATTAATCAAAATAGCCACACATGTCCATTCCAGCCCAAAAGCCTTAAGGTACTTAAACTTCTTGTGTAGCGTCTGGCTTCCCCCAGGGCAAGCATCCTAAGGAACTAGATAGAAGTTTCAAGTCTTCACTTGATTTCACACCTGCTGCATCATGTTTGTTATTCAAGTCATTGGTACCATCTACATTCAGTGGAGGAGCATTAGAATCCACCACACAACTGAAGGAGAAAAACAGAATTTGCAGCCGTATTTCATTTTCCAAATTTCTTTTAAATAATGAGATTCTTTAGGTTCAGAATTTTCACTCATTCCTATTGGTATCTCAGACTATAGCATGGAGGCTTGCATAGAGTATGTACTCAGAAAACTACGGAATGGGATGGAAAGGGATGGAATCAGATGGGATGGGATGGGATGGGATGGGATGGGATGGTATAGAAGATAGGGTAGGATAGGGTAGGATAGGGTAGGGTAAGGTAGAATAGAGTAGGGTAGGGTAGGATGGGGTGGTCTGGGTGGGGTGGGATGGGTGGGGTGGGGTGGAGTGGAGTGGGATGGGATGGGATAGGATGGGATCTAATCGAATTGAATGGAATCGAATCAAAACTTAACAGGAAACCTGTCAGAGCACTGTTATCCTGTTCTCCTTGATGCCAGAAATTACCTTAAAGATTGTACCAGGGAGACTATGTCATAGAAATGTATATAGTTCCCATATCAGTACTCTGTCAATCTAGTAATTAAGCAAACAAATAATAAAGGCCTACTATGTGCCAACCACTTTGTTTATAAATAGACACTATATCATCATTACAGTCTTCATGAAGGGGAAAAATATCTTATGTATCTTGAAGCAGAACTCCTGCTACCACAAAAATAGAAAGCTCCGTTCCCACAGATTGAAAGAACAAGCCGATGAATTTTTAATTCTCTGCCTCTACAGAAGAACATAACATCTTCCAAATGCATAAGCCAAGAGCACAGGACACAGTTCATAGCCCAAGAAAACCACATTGCCAAAATAAATTTGTTCTTCCAGTCATGCAGTTTGGACATGCACTCATTGGTTAAATAAAAGACATTATTAAATTTGGAGTTAGTAATGAATGACTGAAAGAGCACTAATCACAAGTTTCAATTACTAGAAATTGTGATAATCCTAAAAAATGGTGACCAGCCATGCTCTCTTTACACAAGAGAAAACAGGCAGTGACTGCATTATTAGAAATTTAGGTAGAAGAAAAAATTTTCCAGTTGAGGGCAAAGTTAAGCCATAAGAAAGATGTGTTTGAGAAGAACATAAACTGACATATCTAAGTATAAAATGAAATAAATTTGTCCCAATATATGTTTGAGGGGAAGTAGTGAGGGGCAAAGCAAAGTCTACCGTGCTACAATTACAGAAGCTAGGTGATGGGTAATGTGGTTTTACAAAGAAACATTTACAAATAAAATAAATGATATACAATATGTTCAGGCTAGAGTGCCTTAG